GATTCTTCCCCCCCCCCAAAAAAAAAGATGTGTTGACCTGCACAGGGTGGGACCGTGGGGGGTTCATAAAATGTCTAAGGAAGGAGGATGTCTTTGGCGACCGGGTACCGAGAATGGTCTCCCGGCCAAAGGAAGCCTCACCCACAGATAAACTGGACAGTGGATACCAACTAATGATGGTTGTATAATAGGGATGCTGGACCCACTTTCCAGCAGGTGAGCCCCCCCACCAATAGATGGGGCCGACCGGGCCACACTAGGGATGCCTGCTCTTATCAGCTTCCCTAGCACGATGGCAGGTCAATTTTCTATTCAAAAAAAAAAAACAGGAAAAAAAAAAGAGTTATAATTGTGCTATGTGATAAGATGCAGTTTCGAATTGCACTTTGGGCAACCCAGTTTTCTGGCCAGGTAGGGTGCCTGGAGTGCAATTCCAAACTGTATCTTGCCCCATAGTGCAATTAACTCGTTTTTGTGACTCCCGCATCGTTGCCCCAGCCCGGCGTCAAAACATCCCTGCATAAAACAAAAAATGAAGGGGCACAGACGGTAGTGTGCCCCGAGAGAGTATGGGCCTCGTTCCACTACTCGCCATCCGCCACGCATGGCGGACACGACTTGGTTCCACTGCATCGCCAATAGCCACGAAATGGAGGCTGTCAGAATTTGGGTGTGAAATCACTTGGCGATGTGCCGCCAAGGCTTTCCATTTCCCCTGCCTGCAACGGCCCTTCGTGGAGGCTCTACTCCTCACCCCTCCGTGAAATGCTTCGTGTGGCCATTGCCCCTGACACAGCCATCCTGACAGTCGACCTGCGTTGCCCCCTAGTGTTGGCAAGTTTTTGGCGATGTAATGAAACCAAGACCCTTTTTCCGCCAGAAAAATGCAGTTTTTGGCCTCGCCAAGTCTCGCCACTGTTTGTGGCGGATGGCAACTAGTGGAATGAGGCCCTATTGGGCATAGCCACACTACTCTCAAAACGTGCAAAATGAGAATGAACTTCTCACTAGAACATGGCCGGATGCGCCCGACACATTTGTGTCTTTTTCACATTTCGACAGTGGGGTGGCGAAGCCCATTGAGTCTATTGACCTGTTCCTTCTTTTCTCATTTCGGAGCAGGTGCCCTGATAATCTTCTCCGTGTTTTTCCGGTTTCAACATATCTCCCAGGGCAAGGTCGCAATTATCCAGTTTTTTGCCTCCTTTTTTTTTTCCTTTTTTTCTTTGCCTCGTTTTTCCTCTCTACAAATGTAACAATTGCAGGTAGGCAATCACAAACATATCCACAGTTCCAGTCTCGATCCCTATAATCAGTCATTGGGGCACCCCGTTATGCCACGTAGGAAACGTCATCTTCCACCCAACACCAATGTCCACAGGAAAGCTCCTTAGGTCTCTTGTCCTCCCTTAGCAGGAGGAAAACAGAAGCCCAAACAAGACATAGCTGGTGCCTGACCATTGACATGGGTAGGCCTTTATTGCTTTTTTGAATGAAAGCTAAGTCTTTATTTCTCCCAAATTTCCAAGGCTGCACTGGGCCCACACTTGGCATTCATGGGGGGGCCTATTGTGTCATAGGACCATCCCATTTACAATCCTTCCATGAAGTGTACACCCTGCCTTCTTTTTTTTTTTTTTTTTTTTTCCCTGCCTTCTTTTTCCCAACTGAGAAGTAACACGTTTATTGTGCATTGAATTGTGCATTTCTTTTCCATATTCACGTGCTAACTGAGGCCTGTTGTTCTTGACTGTTACCCCAACTTCTTTTTTTTTCCGGGAGAAAAGGGAGATGGCCTTGAGATGGGCTAACGCCGTTTTAAACAGTGTCGCCCTATCCTCGGAAAAAGAAAAGAAGTTTGGGCTAACAGGCAAGACCAGCCGGTCTCCACTCATGGCATGTGAATATGGAAAAGACATGGCCTTGAGTGGAAGTCGGGTGGTCTGCCGGCCCTACCAATCATCCAACTGTGGGGGTCCTCCACTAGCAGGCCCAGCTATGGTCTTAGCTGCCCACCCATCAACCCTTGCCTCTTCTTTCAAGGGCTGGTTTTCTTTCTTCTAAGACGTAAATTGTCCTTTCTCTTTTGAAGTTCTTTCCTTCTTGTTTTTTTATTTTTTATTTTTTATCTTTTTATTTTTTAATCTTCATCTATTGGTGGGGAGTGGCACAGGTCCAGGATCCCTGTATTATACAAAATTTTGTACAGTGCTCAGTACGCACTGTAGAAGCGGTCCAGTGTCCCATTGTAATGTTCTGTCACTAGATATAGTTGATGTCAGATCTATGTCCAATTCAGTTAACATATCAAGAAGTGGCCTGTGGCTCAGTGGTTAGGGCACCGATTGTCGATGCGCATTGTGTTCCGAGGGTGTGGGTTCAGAACTCCACACAGGAGGGTGTTTACATAACACAGTCACTTGCATATCCCCTTGGGCTGGTGCAGGTAAGCTACCACGGGCAATGCCTGTGCACCACCCAAGGGTTGTGAGGGTTGTCCATGGTGTTGTATGTCGGGTCTTGATGCTGTGTGGGTTGCTTGTCGCTCTTGGTCGTGGTTGTGCTGTTGATCTCCTCAGCTGGCATATCACACATAGGTGCTGTTTATGATTGTTCCTCATATGGTAGAGTCTTCCTGTCACATGTCATAGATCACGGCTTCGAGTCTGGCCTGGCACTTTGGGGGTGTTCTTGTCCAGCTTGGCCTGTCATGTCTTCAAAAGAACACATAGTTCCCTCTAAATAGTAGTGCAGTTATCTGGTCTTCGGGCATGCACAAAAACATGGCTTGTTATACCCCTGGTTTCCTCATACCTCTCCCCTCCGGCAGTCATCTTTTATTGTTGGCAGTCTCAGCATTACCCAGCCACTCGGCATAATTGTCCGCAACTACTGTCTGTATTTTGTTGATATAACATAGCCTTACTACTACATTGTGTGCCACCCTTCCTCACTAACCCAATCCCAGTTCATGATGTGCGTACAAGCTGTTCCCCATCCCTCCTCCAATGCTACTCGAATCGTTGAAACGTTGACGAGGCGGGAGATCCGCAATTGGTCGGCATGCAGAACTAGTCTTAGGTTGGTGTGGCGGACCCACCAGGTGTGGTGCTCCGCCTGGGACAGAGATGGAGATGGAGGAAGAAGGGGAGCGAGATGGCACAGCGCAGCTCCCACGCCAGACTCCAACGCACGTACTCCAAACTGTGCGAATGCAGAATGACTCGGAAAACAGACAACAGCTGGGGTATACCCCAGCGGACTGACGAAACTGGACTGGACTGGCTGATACCGACAGAGGTACCGGCCTGGACTGGACTGCCCCGAATACAACACAGGCCTGTAAGAACCGGCCAAGGGGCTGGTCTCACAGGCCAACCAGAGATCCGCTACACGATCCTCGGCCTGTGATGGATCGCCTAGATACAAGCACGCTTCCGCCAAGAAGCGGAACTCTACCAAAGGAAAAGAAAACCTGAGTAGTGTAGGATTCGGAGCAAGCTCCATGCTGAGTCCCTGTGATGCAACCTAGAATAGAAAATATCACAAAAACAACAATGTCACAACTAACAGCCTAAGTGAAAGCAAAAGCAACTAACTAGCATACATGTCCTAGGAAAGCAGAAAGTAATGACAGCTAGGTCCTTGAATATTGGAGGCAGTAGCCTCAGTCTGGAAACAACTGACTAGTGTATAAGTCCTAAGAACAGCAAAAGCAGAACAACTAAATCCTAGAAATGTCAGAGGCAGTAGCCTCAGTCTGAGAGCAACAAAGCAACCACAAGACAACCATATGTCACAGGAGGAGTGTGTCGCAAACCAAAGGGTGGGATGGTCTCTGAGGGTGGTGAATGCAGCCTAGGGGTCGATAACTCCTAAGGGCATCCACACAAAATGACAGGGAGGCACATGTCATCAGGCTCAATGAGGGTAGGGAACTGGGAGCGAACAGAATCAATGTCCCTAACAGATAGACCATCAGGGCGGGTAATGCTCGACTAAAGGGGTGACCGCTATGGAGGGTCGACCATGCAAGGGAACAAGGGAGCCTGATATACTGGGCACACCTAGATGAAAGCTGGGAAGCCAGGGCAACGCTACGGTCCCGATGCCTATGCGTATACCAAGGGAGAGCCCAACTCAGAGGAACCCGGCGAAAGGAGACCATCATGCGACACAACCAGGGTACTGTACAGAGTAAAGTGGTCAGAGGGTGATGACGTCTAAAGTAGGCAGAGCTGATCGTGACGAAGTCCATGAAGCTGCCGATGACGTCCATGATGAGAAGTCCGGAATGTCGTCGAGGAAGAGCCGCAACGTCGACAAGCTGAAGTAGCAAAACTGGTGTGGATGGAGTACTAAGAAGTCAAAGACGTGGAAAGATAAGTCAGGGTCAATCGTCGTGTCGAGCAGGACGATGACGAGTGCGCTATGGACGCTCAGAAGCATCCGACTGCTATTGAAGGTCTGCCTCTGAAGGGGCAGGCTCGACTTCAGCGGTCTCCTCATACGAGGGAGAAGGAGGAAGGTCAGTGGGTTGAGGGGGAGCAGTCGACCCAGTAGACGAGCACAGTCATAGGCACGCACCAACATGCGAGCGTGCTGCAAGTGCTCGAGCGGCTCCCAAGTAGCCTCCTCATCAAAGTAACCCTTCCAACGTACGAGATACTCGACGTGGGGAGGGTTGTCGTCGGTGACTCAACGACTAATGATGTATGAAACGAGGAACTCCTCGTGGCCGTCCACCATGATGGGTGGAGGGCGCTCATATGGTCGTCCAACGAAACACTCAGACGGTCTGCGGTAAGGACGCAGTAACGAGACGTGGTAGACATCGTGCACACGAGTCTGGCGTAGGTAGTCGGGCAGCTTTACACGGAAGCTGACCGAGCTAGAAGTCGTATCAAAACCGACGGCCTAGAGAATGTGACATAGGCCAAAGAAACAACGCCGAAACTTGCGAAGCGTGTCCGCTTTGAGCTGTAAGTGGCGGGCGTCGATAAGCACATCATCACCGACTTTGAATGGATGATCCATCCTCGATTGGTTCGCACGTGCTGCCATGCGAGTCTGGGAAGCGGCTATGTGCTCATGCGCGGTCTTCATGATCGACGTCATGTGTGCAACCCAATCATCCAGCGCGGGACAACTCGTGTCGGGGTGCATCTGTGATGGTCGAAGGAAGTCCGCGAGAACACGAGGGTGATAGCCGAGGTCGCAATAGTAAGGCGACATCCCGTGACTGCCGAGACGACGTGGTTGTAGGCTATCTCCGCGTAGGTAAGATGGAGATCCCACTGCTGGTCGTCACGAACAATCTTTCGGAGAATATCTCCGAGAGTCCTGTTCGTGACCTCGGTCTGATCATCAATCTGGGGATGGTAAGACGAGGAGAAGCGGAGCTGGTCGTAAACCTCGTGAAGTCATCGCCAGAATCGGCTGGTAAAGCGTGGGTCACGGTCAGATATGATGCTTAGAGGTAAGCCGTGGTCACGCATGAGTCGGTCAAACACAATGTCGGCGACCTCACGTGCACTGATGGCATAGCGGCACGGAACAAAGCGTGCACGCTTCGTGAAGCGGTCGACGACGACCAGGATAGCATCATGACCGCGGGGGGTCGGAGGACGAAGAGGACCGATAAAGTCCATCAAGGGACTGCCAACGACCCTCAGGGGTGGGAAGAGGTTGGAGCAAGCCATAAGGCAGGTGATTCGCACTGTTCACCTCTTGACAGGTGGGACACTCTTCGACGTAGTCCTTCACAAAGTCCTTGAGTTCGGCTAGACGTACAGGCGGCTTACACGAGCCAACGTCTTATGGAAGCCCATATGACCGGCGACTGCCTGGTCATGAAACTCTGCTACTACCCGGACACGTAGTTGTCCAGTGAAGGGAAGGCAAATACAGGGCTCTCTAGTGCCCTGTGAACCGTGCCAGTACACAAGACCGTTGTCCCCGAGAGAGTAGTTCGGGATGGTCTTGCCACTCCGAAGGGTCGCGTGGGTGTCGCGATAGTCGGGCAGTGGCGGTACTGAGTGCGAAACTCGTTGATCACCGAGTGGTAGACGGTGGTGACCGAGATGGAAGCGAGATGGATCTGCTCCTGATCGTGGTCAGGGCGCCGATATAAGGCATCTGTGACCCGATTAGTCTCACCCTTGATGTGCCCAGTGGTAAAACTAAACTCAGATAGGTCGCGCCACCAACGATCCTGTCGAGGAGTGAGTTTCGGTTTTATCAGAAAAGCCTAGACAACAGAGTTGTCCGTGCGCACTGTGAATGGTGCCCCATGCAGGTAGTGACACCAGTGTCGAGCGGCATAAACTAGTGCGAGAACCTCACGTTCATCAGCGGTGTAGTTTATCTCGGCGGGCAGGAGCAGACGGGAGTAGAAGGCTATCGGACAATCACCTGAGCGATACTCGACAGTGCCATCCTCGACGATGGTAGGATAATAGTCAATAGAAGGTTCGTCAGTAGCTGGACGAGTAGGCGTCAGGCAGGAGGTAGTGGTAGGGGTAAGGGGTGGGAAACGAGGATGAGAGGAATCAAGGAGGGGAAAATATGAGAAAGCACTGCTCCTACGACAAAGTCTGACGCATCGGTGGTAAGGATAAAAGGGCGATCAAAATCGGATAGGTGAAGAACCGGTGCACATGTCACCGCCTTCTTGAGGGCGCGGAAGGTGTCCTCGTGGAGGGGTGTCCAAGCCCAGGGCGGGTTCTTCCGGAGGAGGGTGGAGGTAAGGACGTAGGAATACCAGTGTATACCTGGATGAGATTACTGTAGTAGCTGGTGAGGCCTAAGAAACTGTGCAGCTGCTTGGCAGATGTGGGGACGGGCCACTCCAAAATAGCGGTGATCTTCGCGTCGTCCATGTGGAGACCCTGGTCAGACACGTAGTGTCCTAAGAAATCCACTTTGTGCTGGGCAAAGCGGCACTTGCTCAGCTTGGCGTAGAAGCCATGTCTGCGCAAGTGGTCAAGGACGCCGCGGAGGTGTCTGAGATGCTCCTCAATGGTACGACTGTAGACCAGGATATCGTCGAGGTAGATGAGAACGTACTGCTCCAGGATGTCCCTGAAGATGTCGTTCTTCGCCCTCTGGAAGGTAGCGGGTGCGTTGGTGAGGCCGAATGACATCACCGTAAACTCGTAGTGGCCGAAGCGCGATCGGAACGCTGTCTTCGGCTGGTCCGCTGCAGCGACGCGGATCTGATTGTAACCGCTACGAAGATCAATCTTCGTAAAGAAGCGGTTGCCTGCTAGGCAGTCGAACAGCTCATCAGAACGAGGCATGGGGTAGCTGTTCTTAACCGTGTAGCGGTTGAGACCGCGATAGTCGATGCAGAGACGACGAGTTCCATCCGCTTTGCGAGCAAAGAGGACGGGTGCACCCCACGGGGAGTTGCTGGGTTTAATGAAATCCAGTCTCAGGATCTCCTCAAGCTGACGCTTGAGTTCAGTGGCCTCGGGGATCGAGAGTCTATAGGGTGTCTGGTGGTGAACACGATAGTCAGACACAAGCTGGATGGAGTGCTCGACGTCGCGCATCGGTGGGATGCCGGCGTACGTTAACGACGATGGGAAAACGTCATGGTACTCTCGAATGAGGTTACTAACAGAGGGCTCCAGGTCAGCCGTATATTGTGCGAGTTCCTCAGCGTCAGCATCAGCGCGCGACGGCGGGGTGGACTCGACGGACGGCGGAAGGTGGGAAGTAGAGATGGGAGCCATGGAGATAGAATAAGGATCTGGCTCCAGAGGGATGAGCTCGGCGTTGGGACAGGGTGGATCATAGTGTAAGAGATCCGTCGCGTTCACCATAAAGAAGGTGATGTCGTCCTGTCGGATGAAGTGGGCGAACTGTCGAGGCGAGGTGACAGTGATCATAGGAGATGGTGTGGGCACGGAAGGCTCCAGGAGAGGAGGATCGGGGCGTGGTGTCGCGATGGTACCTATGAAAGGTACGCGATACGTCTGTCCACACTTCGTTTTGAGAACGAGAGTGTTGGTCGCGCAATCGGCCTTGGTGCTGCGGAATCGACGAGACCACGGAGTACCGAGAATGAAATCATACCCCGTCTCCATCACATCGAAATGCGCAGAGGAGTGGTGGCGACAATACGCTGGGGGACAATCGGTCGGCTCGAGGGTGAGGAAGAAGGGGAGTTCGGTGACCGTCTGATCGAAGAAGCGTTGGATCTTGTCATCCCCTAGGGTGATGGAGATGGGAGTCGGAGACCCTCTCGTGGGTAAGCGAGCTTCTTTCGCCACACGTGGGTGAATGAAGTTGCCCTGAGAACCAGAATCTCACAACGCTGAGTACACCCTCGTGGAGGTCCCCAATCCTACTGGAATGATCAGGAGGGTGCGATCAGGGTCAAAGAGGATGGTGAGAAGGCGACTCAATGCAGCGACATAGAGGGTGAGTCGCTCTTGTCGAGCCTGGAGCATGCTCAAGTCCAGAAGAGAGGACACAACGTCCTCGCGAGTCGCAAGCTGGTCGCCGCAACGGGCTGAGCGAATGGCTCGATGTGTCGGTAGTCGCGGCGGGGTAGGAAGGGGGATGGTGGTCTGCGGAGGCGCATGCGGTACGACGACAGAGGGTTGAGTACACTCTGTCGGGTCCTGCGATACCTCAACTCCTGTAGCGAGAGGGGCAAACCGCGACGAGGATGTCAGGAAGCCGACTACAGAGGAAGGCGCAGGTGTACACTGCACCGTGGTTAGGAGGCGCCGCGGGGATGCGAGGCGCCGGGGGGGGACTGAGCACGACGCTGGCGGGAAAGATTAGCATAGTGGCGGTCGAGGGCGGCAGTGTAAGGGCACCGCAAGGAGGTATGACCGTCCTGGCGGCATCGCAAACACCCACGCCGGCCCAAAATAGTTGTGCGCTCCTCAGCGGAAAGGACACCGCGAGGAGGGACAAAGCCCTGAGGGAGGTCCTGCTGAGGGACCTCGGAGGGCGACGAGCCAGCGTGACCGGGGCGGCTGCTTGCCCGGTAGAGGGCATAGAGTATGAGCTGGAGGCACTCGGCCATAGGGAGAGTATATTTCTTCAGGTGGTGGTGGACGGCCTCGCCGAGGTCGAGGTCGTCGCTATGGTCACCCTCAGGCGACAGCGGGGCAACAGCGTCCTGCTCACCATACTCGAGCGCGCTGAAGTGACACGAGAAGTGGCAGCCCTACTGCGCGGAACGGTGGGGGCGACCACGGAAAGGGGGAACAACGCTGGGATGTGCCGTGAGAGGAGGAGGGGGCGTAACCAGTACGCTAACGCTGGGAGGAGGAAGTGTGTTGAAGATGGGCACGCATCCGCTGATGGTCCCGAGCGGCCTCGTAAGCCTGAGGGGCCGATGTGAACTCGTACCACCATAACTCGGAGTGGTACTCAAGGGGAAGGCTGGCCAAGAAACGATCGATAAGGGCAACCTCGGGAAGGAACGCCACATCACAAATGAGGCAGGCATCCTGAAAGACCTGGATGTGGCGATCCAGGCCGACAGCGTCACCAGAGTCGGACCAGCGTGTAGTGACGACGCACTCAAAGGCGTCAGTCATGTCATGTCGGTCTCCAAAGCGATCCTTGAGGAATGCTTGGAAATCCATGAAGGTCGGAGTCCTACCCGCACGAAGGGAGTAAGAGTCAAAATCCTTCCAAGCGTCAAAAGGACCGTCACGCAGGCGCGTGGAGAGGTGAGTCACCCACGTGTCTGGTGGGGCGCACATGAGCTGAAGCGTGCGGGTGGCAGACTATAGCCACCGAGATACGCGTATGCCTGTACCGTCACACAAGGCAATGTCCGTCAAACGGACGAGTGGTGCGCCACCGTTTTGGCGGCGAGGAGAGCGGGGAGCAGAGGCCTGCACTACGGCCGAGTAAGTCGGCGCAGGTCCTGGAGAAGCGGGTGCAGCTGACTATCCGCTCGGGCCGCATGGTGGAGCGGCGGGGGGAACAGCGGCAGGCTGCGAGGGAGCTGCGGTAGAAGAGGTCGCAACCGTCGAGGGAGTAGGAAGGAGGTAGGATGGGGGTGGAGGGGGTGCAAGGCGGGGGAAGCAAGCCGACAAGAATGAAAGAGTAAAGGAAGAAGGGGGTGCACCCGAAGGCGCGGCCACCTGTGAGCGTGGGGGTGGCTGAAGGCGTAAGAGGGCGAGGTCGGCCCGGGTCTGGGCGAGTTTGTCCGCGAGACGTTGAACATAGATCGGGCGAGGAGTGGCAGGAGGAAGAGTGGGGGAAGTGGACGCACGAGCGGCGCGGGGCATCCCATAGGGGGGAGAGCCAGGTGGCCCTACGATCATGCGAAGGAGAGGGAGAAGCGGGGCACCCGAAAAAGCTGAGACCACGGCAGCGGGTTGTGGTCCCGTAGCCGTAGTGACCGGAACCTGGGCGGGTGCGCCCGTAGGTTGAGGGAGGGCCTGACCCGTGGTGGCCGTCGCGCTAGGAGCGTGGACGGTCACCACGATGGCCGGGTCAGGGGCGGCAGAGGAGGAAGCTGCGCCGTGGCCACCATATCGGAGGACGGGGGACCCGGACTGGGAGCCAAGAGAAGAGAGAGAGTCGGGAGAGGAAGGATGACCAACGTCCTGGAGTTGCCGCATGTCGGCGGCAAGGGTCGCCATTTGCCCCTGTAAGGGCGCAAGGAGGGAGGTGATGAGGGTGTGCAGATCCCCTTGGGGTTGGTGGCCCTGGTCCGTCAGCACGGGTGTGAAGCCCGATGCCGAGGTCGTCGCCGCCTCGGCGGTTTGTGACACATCGTCGGCCATGCGGAGGTAACGGGCCGGACTAGGGAAGGTCGGAGGAGGTCCGTGTGAGCGGAGGGCGTAGGGGGAGGTCTGCGATAGGAAGCGACGGGCGGCGCTAGTAAATCGAGTGCAGGCGCCGTCAAAAGGGGAGGGGTGGTTCGGATCCAGGGTGGTCGAATGAAAAGGGAAGGTAAGGGGGGTTAGAAAAACCCTAAACCCTAGAAAACCCTAAGAAAACCCTAACCGGAGTTTGAGAGGTTAGGGTAGGGTACCGGTGACCTAATCAAGAAAATAAAATAGCAAGCATTAGGGGAGGAAGGCGGGAGAAAAAATAAATAAACAGCGAAATTTCGAGAGAAAAATAAAAATAAATAAAAAAATAAAAAAATAATAAAAATAATTAAGGAAATAAGGAAACAAAATATGAAGAGAGAAATAATATTATTTTTTTTAGAATTTTCGACAGCATTTCCCTACCCCCCATGGGGTCAAGAATGTGCCAAGGGGAAAGGAGAGACCAAGATAAACACACTAGGTCTCAAAATGCCGCAAATTAAAAATTTCAAAAAATAAATAAATAAATAAATAATAAATAAGTGAATAAGTGGATGAGGAGGTGGAGAGAAATTAAGCATCTGATTTCTCAAAAATTTTGGCAGCATTTCGTTACCCCCATGGAGTCGAAGTGTGCCGAGAAAGACTAAGTGAAAGAAAAACAGAAAATTTCGGTAGCACTTCGTTACCTCCACGGGGTCAAAATGTGTGCCGAAAGCAAGAAAGATCAACTCCTAGTCAAATTTAAGGGTGCCGTAAAGAAATTCGAATCTTCAGAATAAATGAAAAAAAAATAAAAAATCAGAAAACGAGAAAGGGGGGGAGGGGAAATAAGATAATTTGAATTTTTGGAGAAAAGATAAGATTGAAATCAAAGAGAAAGGGAAAAGAAGAAAAACAGAAAAATTCTAAGTAGGGGGGGGGCAAGGGGATGAAAGAGTGATGAAGAAGAGAGAAATAGGTGAGAGAGAGAGAAGGAGTGAAGTAGGAGATGGGGGAAATGAGGTTAGTAGAAGATGGTGAGTGAGGAGGAGAGGAGAGAAAAAAGTGGTGGGAGATGAGTGAAGAGGGAGGTGGGAGGAGGGGGGGTAGTGGTAGAGTTAGAAAGGATGATTAGATGATGGGGGGGGAAGAGAAAAGGGGTTGGGGGAAGGTAGGTTAGTGGAGAGAGATAATACCTGGCTCTTGGTTGACCAAGAGCAAAGCACTACCAAGATCCACAGGATCTTGGCCTTCAAGGTGCTGCTGGCCTGATGCCACAACAATAACAGGATGATGATGATGATCTAGGGTTGGCTGAGATCTTGATCAGCCACCCTACTGCCATCGTCACACAGCCCCCTAGCCAGAGGGGGAAGCTTGAGCTGCTGCAAAACTGCTGCTGCAGCAGTAGAAAAATTGTACAAAAAATAATGTGGCGCAGCCCCCTAGCCAGAGGGGGTCTTCAATGTTCAGAGCAGACTGCCGCGTGGCACTGCAGATGGCCACGTGCGCAGGAAGCAGCAGCCACGGGGGGCGGGGGGGGTAAATAGCTGGCACGCACCTCTTCAACAGCAACGTGCCACACAACGAAGTCATACGTACAGTATGGCGAGTGTGTTACGGGATCAGCCACGCACGCGCAAGGCCAGCAGCTGCCTGGGTTCAAACCCCAGCGGCAGCAAGATCCCGGATCTTGATAATATAAATCCGGGAGTGGGGCGGGGCGGGGCAACGGGGCAGCGTGGGCACGTGGCGCGTCCGTGTGCGTGTGCGGCGGCCTTGGCCTGGGACAGAGATGGAGATGGCACTCCCCTGCTGTGCGGTGGGTGCGGGGGAGCGGGGAACGTTCCCGCTCCGATACCAGTGTGGCGGACCCACCAGGTGTGGTGCTCCCCCTGGGACAGAGATGGAGATGGAGGAAGAAGGGGAGCGAGATGGCACAGCACAACTCCCACGCCAGACTCCAACGCACGTACTCCAAACTGTGCGAATGCAGAATGACTCGGAAAACAGACAACAGCTAGGGTATACCCCAGCGGACTGACGGAACTGGACTGGACTGGCTGGTACCGACAGAGGTGCCAGCCTGGACTGGACTGCCCCGAATACAACACAGGCCTGTGAGAACAGGCCCAGGGGCTGCTCTCACAGGCCAGCCAGAGGTCCGCTACAAAGTCTATGGGGCTCGTTAGACACTCCTTGTGGTGTCCTCGGGGCCGAAGGAAGTTTCCTTCAGGGTTTTGAAGCAAATTTCCGTCGTCGTTCCACCTATCCTCGGGGTGGTATCCCAAGGATGATTCCTTTTGGCCCCCCACGGCCATTTTCATAATATTATAGTTGCCCCCGGGGGGGGGGGGGGATACCTTGGTCCATTGGGTGATGTCCGTCTCACAACAATGTGTGTCCAGCTGCCGAAGGCGAGAAAATTTGAAAGGTGCTGGCTGCCGGACAAAAAAAAAAAAAAAACTTCAAAAGCAATGGACATCCCAAATCGAAAATCAAAATTTGAATTGGGTGTTGGACGTGACGACGGTGACGCGGGGCAGGTGGTGTCCATACTGGCGACGGTGGAAACGGGCATTTGCAGCGGCGTAGTGGAGTCGTCGTAAGTCATCACAATTTTTTTAGCGCCCCACGAAGGTCCATTTCCATCACCTCCTCCTGCTGCCGAGCGTATGTGTGGAGTCGAGCACATGCGGAGAACGTCGTCGGCGACTTGGCGCTGAGGTTACCGTGGCCGTGGCGAGTTCGTCAGCTGTCGTATTTTCGTGTTGACGAGCATTGCGACAGGCGTGCCGATGGAGGGCGGTGGCAGCAACGAACGTGCGAAGTTGACGACGATCCAGAAGACAGCCGTGGCGGTAGCAGTGACAGTCGTGCTCTTTCGTTGTCAGCAAGAGAGGGCATTCAATTTGGGCAGAATGAGAGCACAGATCCGCACACCAAGGAGGAAGACACTTCATCAAGTCCCAGTCGAAGGGCTGGATACTGTGGCAATCACCGAGGCTATAGCTCGGGTTTGCTGCGCCATGGGTTGCGGTGTTCTGCCATGAGTGACGTCGAGGTGGTGGATGAAATAGAAAGGAGGATGGGGGGTGCGTGGGAGGATCTCAGACAATGCGACAACACGACGGAGCCAATGCGACGACGCGACAGAGGAGCCGGGGATGCACGCGTGGAAAAGGAGGACCACGACAAGCAAAATCGCAACTAGGAGCAGCAGTGGAAACCTTCGATAGAGGTCGGCCATCGACAACACGTATGACAGGGCCGTAACTCCGCGACGACGGTGGAGGTCCACCAAACGGCAACGATGAAGGGAGCAAATGGTAGAGGACAGCATACGACACACCTCACCGACATGAGTGAGGATGCAGGAGGGGGATCGGGAAAAATATTCAATTTCCCCGACTGTTGAACCCCCGCTAAGCTGGCGGGATGCACTGCGACGACAGCCCCAATTGAAGATGAACCCCGACGACGGCCGCCCTCTAACAGTAACCGTTGGCGACCCCTTGCCTGAAATCCCAACATTGAGGCCTGAAGATGTCCGTGCAGCCGCTGGCGGAACACCAGTGTGCCAGCCGAAAAAAGAAAGTTGCCAACGACGCGTGCCTTCGCTGCTCTGATTATCGCGGGTCCTTGAGCTCCAAGGCACCTCGCGAGGTCCCTTGCACTAGG